GCGTAAATATTTACATCACACGTAGCATCTATAAATTCAAATATCTAAAATAATATATATTATAAAATTAAACAGAACGTTTGAATGTTGTGGAGCCTATTTAAGTGCCACTTATGGCACAGTTTAGCAGAGCTGGCATGAGTTATACTGTGCATCCTCAGAGAAGTGCAAGAAGGCACAGCTGAGTTGACGGTTTCACCTGATAAACCAAGCCCTGGAGTGAAGGATTCCCTTCCTGACTGATCTCCTGCCACAGGTTTAAGCTCATTCCCTGCTGGCTGCCAGCTTGGGAGATGTCTCACAATTCACCTGCAGTTTTGTATGCTTGTAGAGCACACTGTTCCACACAATGTGGAGTGTACGAGGTCCGGGTTGCTCCTATGTACCTCCCCTTCAAACATATACATACAAAACTTTAATATAATCTTCTGCACAGAGCCCACAGTACTTAAGACACAGCTGTATGAAACTCTTCATCTGCCCTTCACTGTGGGCTGACTCAAGGGGCCATCTGGCTTTCTCCTCTCCCCCCAACACTTTCCCACAGTCTACCTTGCACCGGATCTTATCTGATCGAAAATGAAGCCTGTAAAAATAGAAAAATCCAGCTAACCAAGCATTTGCTTCACTTTGGCGAGTGGTGTTTTGTGTTTTTTTTTTTTACAGAAACCTGCAGTTACAGCTGAGTAACAACATAACAAAATTGCATCTTTGTTCACTTTCACCGCTGTAATTACAGAACAAAAATATGTACAGTGTCCTAAAGTTTGGTTATTCTTATTTTTACTGCGTTAGTACTTCTGGTCCCAAGCACCCCACGTTTCCATGCTGCAGAATGTCACTGAGGGCATGTCCAAGCACAGGAAACAGCCTCCCCACACCTCTACATCCTCTTTTACTTCCCAAACAAAGGCCTGAGAAACAAAAGGCGTAGGAAAATGAAATCACACAGTGAGGAAGCGACAGTTGTCAGAAATGGCCTCTGTGCCTTCCCTGGTTTATGTCAGTCCAGCATCTGGTAAGTTAGAACAAGCAAAATAGCAAGAGGCAGATGAGGACACAGTTCCTGCAGGTGGGAAATCATCAGCATCTCAGTCACACTCACGGAGGAAGCCATGGAGCCAAGTCAGAGTTGCAGGGAGGGATGGAGAACACAAGGACAGGATAACCAGTTCTGTAACTCTGTAGGTGCGGCATAAAACTGCAGGCACAACTGATAAACTTAGATGTCAAATTAGGTAGGTGTTCAATCACCTTATTTGCATTCCGTGTTAATGCCATCAGAACTACTTGCACACATTTGAACATTTTCCAAATATGTATTTAAAGATGCAATCTTCAGAACGTATCCTAGTCTAAACAGGAAAAGCTCTGGCTGACAAAGCAGCCAAAACTTTGGCGTGGTAAGGGTTCATCTCTTCATCAGTAAAAAAAACACCATTTCTTAATGACTGCACAGTTCTGTGGAATATCTGCTAGAAAAAGTTCTATCCTTACATAAAAAGTTATATCCTATATAAAAAGAGCAGGGAGGTGGAGATAGGCAATGGATGTGCATTTGATAGATGACATTCTGTGTCGAACTTATGTAGAACTTCAGGAGTATGCTAAAAAACCAGCAGCTCGGGCAGAATTCAAGCAAAAGCAGGATTTATAAAGCTTTTCTTCATCACTTGCCCATGCGATCAACTATTCAGAACAGAAAATCAGCACCTGTTGTGAGACAGCTGTATAGAACCTCCAAGGAACCCGTCAGGGAGAAGACATCATAGTAACGTACCCCACCTGGGCAGCGTTAATTATAGTGACTCAGAGCATTTAGGCTGAAGCCCATAAAGAATTAGACCAGCCTTAAGGCACTCCATAAAAATGCTGGGAGATCCCGTGCGGACTTACTGAGCTGTGGTAACGGTTGCTCTAGATTCAGACTCCCTGTTTCCAAAAGCTGGACAATCCTCATCCGAAGGCGGTGGATCTGTTTCTGCAAGGAGCCGCAGGGTGGCAGCGCTGCCGCACGCTGGGGTGAAACCAGCCTGAAATGGGAAACAAAACCCGCATTAACAAGCCAAACTGTCCCTAATGTACTCACGGCTGATTTGTAGTGAGAATCTGAAATAATTATTCTTGACAAGGGGACCTAGCCATGCATCTCAAGGATTTGAGCAGAGGAAAACATCCCAGCTCTGAAGACTTAAAAATTTAAATTTCACACTGTTCCCTCTATTCTAATGAAAGCTGTCCTGCTATCACTTCACACACGGAAAGTGCATAATTACACAGCCTCAAATTCAGAAAAATTGTCCATCCAGTGAATACTCTGCATTACACATATATAAATACACATATATATATACACACACACACACTTTTCATGTAAGGTGTGGCTTTATAAACCTGAACTTGACCTGTTTTTGTGTAAGGACTGGTGTGGCTTTATAAACCTGAACTTGACCTGACAATTTTACTTCATTCTTCAGTCTGAGTGGTGTGTCCTTAATTGGCCACGCTGCAGCCACACTCATTTGTTTCTGCATTCCCAAGGGAAGCACAACAAACAGCTCTTCCAAGAGAAAATGTAAGTATAGCTGAAAGACCACAGGCTCTAGTCCCTACCACCATAGGTGGGACAGTGCCAAATTTGGAGGACTGTCCTAGACAAGAGGAAATGGGCACAGACTTGAACATAAGAAGTTCCACCTAAACATGAGGAGGAACTTCTTCACTTTGAGGGTGGCAGAGCCCTGGAAGAGGCTGCCCAGAGAGGTGGTGGAGTCTCCTTCTCTGGAGATATTCCAAACCCACCTGGACACGTTCCTGTGCAACCTGCTCTGGGTGGACCTGCTTTGGCAGGGGGTTGGACTGGATGATCTCCAGAGGTCCCTTCCAACCCCATGTCATTCTGTGATTCTGTGACAGAGAGAACCAGTGCCATCCCAACCACCCCCAGTGACTTCATGTCCCCTTCTGTCTCTCTCCAAAACCTGCACCAAGTGCCCACTTTGCAATGATTGGGAGAATGCAAAGCAGCAGTCTTATTTTAGTCACTTTAATATTAAAACCACAAAAAAAAAAGGCTGAAGGCCACACAGTCCTCAGGGGATTTGGGAATATTTGAGGCTTCTCAGCTTGTATCTTTGTTTCACTTGGGGTCAGCAATCTGCTCACACACAGTTTACTGCTGTGGACTATTCCTTCAGTGCCAAACAATGCTGCTTTAACTTTAAAACCAAAAAAAATAAATCTTTAAAGTGTGTGTAAGACAAGAGGCTTAAATGACTGCTGGGTTGTGTGAAGACCAGGGCTTACCACTGGGGTTGGTAACGGTACAGCCAGGACAGCCACCAAGGTCTGAGGGGGAATACTCCCACAGGAACACCAAGTAGGTGCCACGACCACTCTCATCATCTGATCTGGACCTCCATCTCCAACCAGTTTGCTGGGAAAAGGGCTACCTCAGACGACGTGGTTGGGATGCTGCCTGTTATCACTTGGCCAAAAAGCCACATAACCACGGCCCCGCTGGCCGCAGACGGGGGCTGCCAGGGTGGCTCACAGCCAGACTTCTACAAAAAAAAAAAAATAAAAATCACCAGAACAACCAAAAAAAAAAAATCACAAGAAAAACTGCATCCAGTTCTGGGCTCCCCAGTTCAAGAGGGACAAGGAGCTACTGGAAAGAGTCCAGTGTAGGGCTACAAAGATGATTCGAGGACTGGAGCATCTTTCTTATGAGGAGAGACTGAGAGAGCTGGGACTCTTTAGTCTGGAGGAGGCTGAGGGGAGACCTTATTCATGCCTATAAGTACTTCAAGGGTGGTTTGAAGGAGGAGGAAGTCAGACTCTTTTCAGCAGTTGCCAGTGAGGGGACAAGGGGTAACGGGCATAAGCTGGAACATAGGAGGTTCCACTCAAATATGAGAAAAAACCGCTTCACAGTGAGGGTGACAGAGCCCTGGAACAGGCTGCCCAGGGACGTCGTGGAGTCCCCTTCTTTGGAGATTTTCAAGACCCATCCTGAGTAACATGCTCTAACTCTAGGCAATCCTGCTTCAGCAGGGGAGTTGGCCTAGATGATCTCTATGGTCCCTTCCAACTCTAAAAATTCATTGAAATTCAGTGGAAAAAAAAGAAAAATCACCATAAAAGCTCCCCGCCTGCTGTCAGGCAGGCTCCCGAGGAGCTCTGAAGGAAGTGCGGCCGCTGAGGGGCGTTTCACGACGGGCGCCGCGGCCCAGCTGAGGGCGAAGCCTCGCTGCGCAGCGCCAGCACCAACACTACCACAAGGCGGCGGGGGGGGGGGGGGGGCGGGGGGGCCCCCCCCCGCCGGCGGGCTGTCTGCCCCCAGGGTTTGGCTGGAGGAGGGAAGGTGCTCTTCCCACCTCTCTCAGATGGTCCCCGGCGATGCTCCCGCCGCGCCTGAGGGGGCGGCAGACGAGAGCGGAAGTGCGGGGCTAGCGCGGCCCCCCCGCCATCTTTTCCCCTCCCGCCGCCCGTGACTTCCGGCGGCCGCTCTAGCCCGGCGCCGCCTCTATGCCCGCGGCGCTGGGGGATGTTTATTGTCGCGGGGAGTCGGCCCAGCTCCCGGACCGCCAGCGGCGGGGCGCCT